TTATTTCACATCACAAAAATAGAGCTAGGATTTGACTACCGCTCCTTCCCTGTGCAAAACCCTTCAGAATGAGCCCCAGCTTTCAGGATGAAATCCATGCTCCTTTGATGGGCACTGCAGGCCCTCATGACTTGCCAACCTGGGGCCATCTTCCTGCATACTACACTCATATACTTTCTCTTGTTTCCAGGTTTTTGCATGGACTGTTGCTCCCTTTTGCCTAGAAGCCCTAGTTTTCTTCCTGCCCGTTTTCTGCTGCCAGTGAGGAAGTCCTTCTCATCCTTCTGGTGTCAGCTGAACTGCTGTCCCCTAAAGCCCTCCCCATTCCTTGTGCCCCTTCCCCCAGCAGGGCCCAGGGACCATCTTCTGAATTCCTGCAGCACCTGGTGTCATTGAACTATGTCACAACGCTGATGGCACTGAGGGCAAGGACGGGGTCTGGTCCACCCTTGTTCTGTGTTCTGCCCTGCCCTCTCTCCCACCTGGAACCAGGGGTCCGGTACAATGTTCCCCAAAGAAATGCATATGGAAGGGATGAACCCATTCCTGCCTTTGGACGCCACACCAGGGCATCTTTCCAGCTTGCCGCAGCTGGAGAGATCCCGTCTTTTTCTGAGCTGCTGCTTCTCTGTTTCTGACTTCTCTTGGGAAACCCAGACATCCGCGTTCTCTGACGGCAGACGGCAGCCGGCAGCCCGTTGCCCTGGGCCACCTGCCGGCAGCTCCGGAGAGCTCCCAGCTCCAGCCGCGCAAGCTCGCAGGCAATGCTGCGCCCTGGCGTCGCCTGTCGGCGCTGCGGCTCTCTCCAGGCTTGGAGAGCAGAAACCACACAGACAAGTTCTTATCAGGTAGATGTTTCTATCACTTCCAGCGGGCAGCCGGAATCTAGGGGACGGTCCACAACTGGCTAAGTATCCCAAGGCTTTTGAGTGGGGGAGCTGAGAGTCGGCCCCAGGACTGCCAGCGTCCAAGCCTGAGCTGGGATCTCCGTCCACCTCTTGGAGAGGACTGGAGACGTGGGCACTGCCTCAAGCCATGACATTGCTCAAGGGCCTGAACTTGATAGTTTTCTGATTATAAGACGAACACAGGTGCGGTCGAGAAAATCTGAGAAACAGAAAACTGTAAAGAAAATAAATACTACTATAAACCCAGAGACACCAACTGTTAGTCACTTTGTTGTATAGCCTTTTAATTTGTCTTTTATGTGTATCAATGTATTTATTATGACAAAATTGTAATTATAATGTACATAGGGTTTTTAAAAAATAACATTTAATATGTCCAGAGTTGAGAAGCAGAAGAAAATTAGAAAATTTTAGAAAAGCATAAAGGAGAAAATTTAGAAATCACTTCCAATCCCACCATCCAGGAATAGCCTTTCTTCCCAATTTAGTTTATATTTGTGACAATCAACCGTTATATACCTATATATTTTGCAAGAATCCAAATTATAAATCTAAAAAAACTTCCCAAAGGAAAACTTTATTCTTATATTACCCTATAGTAGTATACAGGTACATTTATTTTTTTCTGCCTGGAAATTTCTCACCATCTTCTGGAAACACCCTCAACCTCCCCTTCCTTTAACTCCCCAACATATTACATTCCTATGACTCCTGTGGGAGTAACCAAGGTCTTCTGTGAATATGAGTGTATATATCTGTGGGATTAGGTGTTAGGAGTGAAATTATTTAAAAGAGGGTATGTGCTTTTATAAATTTTGATATATACTGCCAACACTTGCAGAGAAATTGTAGGCACTTTCACCAGAGTCACCAGTGTCTGTTTTCCAGTAGGATCACCAACAAAATGCCAAACTTTTGGGCCCTGGGATCGCATGTCATAAGTCTGGCTAAGATGTATTGAGTGAGAACTTTCACCAGAGTCACCAGTGTCTGTTTTCCAGTAGGATCACCAACAAAATGTCAAACTTTTGGGCCCTGGGATCGCATGTCATAAGTCTGGCTAAGATGTATTGAGTGAGAACTGTGCCAGGTCCAGGCTAAGTCCTGCCTACTTATTAATACTCACTGAATCCTCACAATCACCCAATGAGGACAGCAGTTTTATCTTCATTTTACAGATGAAGAAACTGAGGTTTAAAGAGGTAAGCCTGCCTCAGCTGGAGGCAGTGAGCTGAATTCATGCATGGGATGTCTAGCTCCAGCATTCATCCTCTCAACCAGTGGTTCTCAAGCTTGAATGTCCATCAGAATCACTCAGAGCCTGGGCCCCACTCCAGAGTTTCTAATTCAGTGTGGGATGGGCCTGAGAAAGGGCATTTCTAAGTTCCCAGTGATGCTGATGCTGCTGGTCTAGGGACCACACTTTGAGAACTGTTGCTACTATTAGTGTCATATGGAACCCAATCTGGAAATGACCTTGCTGATCTACCTTTGACTTTGTTTGGGTGCTCATTTGAATTCCACATGTCCTACAAACCATGTGTGCATGTGTGTGTGTGTGTGTGTGTGTGTGTGTAAATAGAACCTTTCAAGGTCTTTTGAATGTTCCAAGTAAGATTCGTGGCAAGTTATTTCACTTCTTCAAGACTGTTTCCCCATCTTCTTAATGGAGATGATGCTCCGAGGAACCCTTGGAGGAATTAAAAGTAGTAATGTATATAAACAAAACTTTAGAAGATTGTAAAATGCTGCACCAAAGCTTGATATAATTATTCTATTGATGGAGAAGCTGTGAGGTACAGCAGAAAACTCTTTGGAGTTGGGCAGTTTTGGATTGAGATTGTGGTTCAGCCACCATGTGACACTAGACAAGTCAGTCCATTTCTCTGAGCCTCAAATGTTTTCTCTTTAGAAATGGGCATATTGTGGGCTCCTTGAGGATTAGCAAGCCCCTATGTGTGTCCCTTCCAGCTCCCTTTGCTCCACAAGCTTGGAGGCAGCTCCATGAGAAAAGGGCAGGCTCTGGAACAATGGTTCTAATTTGGTTGCTCACAGCCATTTCCTCTCTAGATTTCCAGGGATTAATGTTCCTTTCTAGTCCTGTTCCCAGAAAATCTCAAATTCCCTGTTCTTTTCACATCCTGGTGATGATTGCCCTATGACACTGAATGGATTCTTTTCCAAAATAGGATAGGATGTGAGGACAATTTGCAGATTCCCAGAAAGAGCCCAGGTTGAACCCAAGACCACATGGATAAGCTGGTGCCAATTGTTCTAGGTCCTGGAGATATGGCAATGGACAAAACAGAAACTCTTACCTTCCTAAGCTTGTTGATACTGTGTCCCCACGTATGTCAACATTGACCCCCCCAATGCTTTCTTGGAGTCTGGTGAGGGGTAGGCAAATACTCAAATTCACAGAAAAACACGAGTTGACTCAACTTGACTCAATGAAGCTTACTGACATCTGGGAACAACAGAAATGTGGCTGTAGGCAGAACCTCTCAAGCTGTGATGTGTACAGGGATCACCAGGGCCCTTCTTACCCTGCAGATTCTGGCTCAGCAGGTCTGGAGCAGGGCCCAAGAATTTGCATTTTTAACAAGGATGGATGCTGTGGTCTATGGACCCCACTTTGGATATCTAGAATTTAAGTGATAACTCACATCATCACCACCAAATGTAACCTTATTTTTCTTCAGCTTTCAGTAAAATTCTGAATACACAGAGAAGCCAATTTTATTAGTGTATTCCAGTAGTCTACATTTTTGGACAGGGCTGTAGGTTTGGGTGTCAGATCTGGGCTCCCAATGTTAAAGTGTCTAGGAGCAGCCTGGAGCATGCACGTCACTACTGGGAGCCCCAGCTGTCTATCTGTGAATGGAGACCCTTCCTACCTTTGTCTCACTCAGGCAAAAACTGTAATTGTTAGACATTTTTATGGGATGGATTCAGGAGTCTCCATCTGACCATTTTAATCAGATATTTTTAGTTATGTTGTGGGTTATCTTTGGGGAAGTTGCTAGGGTTCTGAAATCTTACTATTAACAATGATATACTGGCATTTTGAATGCATGACCCATGTCTCTAGAGCAAACATACAACAGGCAACCATCCATTAAATGTTTACTGTGTGCCAGGCCATATGCTAACTGCTATACCAGGTTTATCTTGCTTAATCTTTACAACAATTCTATCAGGTAGATTCAATTATTTTCCCCAAACAATCAAGACAAACAAACAAAACCACTGAAGGTCACAGAGAATGTCAGTAGTCCAAAGGCATATATTTTATAAGTGGGTACAGCCAAGATTGGACCCAGCTGTCTGACTCCTAGACCTATGCTCTTAAACATATCTAAATAATTTGAGTGATAACAGAGTTATGGTAGCAAAATAGATGCAGAAACATGACCAAGGAGGTTAAAGTGCTCAGTTCTGTTAATAAGGCACCCCCCCCAATCTTAATTTAGACTTTCCCTGTCAACTATTGCAAATAGCAGTTCCATGTTAGAATATGACCGACAATATAAAAACTAATTTACTTCACTAGCACGTGTAATGGTGTTAGCCATCAAAATCTAAAGCAGAAACCTATTCCCTCCCCATCCCCCCATGCTAATAATTAATGTTGCTGGAATCACACTGTTGAGGGGCTGCGGGTCTGTCCTTTTATGTATATGGGGTTCAAGAATGTGGAAGACTGGTAGCCCACAACAGAAATATATTTCTTGGGCTGGCCCGGTGGCGCACTCAGTAGAGTGCGGCGCTTGAGGGTTCGGATCCCATATAGAGACCGGTCCGCTCAGTGGTTGAGCGTGGTGTGGGCGCGACACTGAGGGTTGCGATCCCATTGCTGGTCGCGGTACAGGCGCGACACCGAGGGTTGTGATCCCGTTACCGGTCACGAAAAAAAAGACAAAAAGGAAAAAAAAAAAGAAAGAAATATATTTCTTGCTAAAGGCATAATACAAAAATATCTTTTCATTAGAAGTTACTGATGGTACTGCAGATATCAAGTTTTGAATGAAAGGTACCATCAACTATAACACACAAACTGCTTTATCTTTCACATCCAAATAAAAGAGAGAATTTATTTTCATTCTGAGTTTATTTAACATTTCATCCAATTGAACAGAAATAATACATTTGACTCCAACACTGGCAAGACGCTGTGCTAATACTGAAATAAAAACTGCCAGTCAGTAAATACAATCATAACTCATCGTATCATGTCAATACAAATATTAATAACTATTTACCTTTACAAGCTTATTGCACTTCATGTGGATTTTTTTTCCCCTCCAGAAAAGGTATTTCTAAAAGATTAGCAAGGATAACCAATCTTGGTTCATTTGTTCTTCTTTATAAATTATGGTTAAATTATACAGTAAATATTTCTATATAAAAGCATTAAGAGTCTGAAGCTTCAATAAACAATGTTTAAAAAGACATATCTCCATGTTCATTATCCCTTTTATAACTATGCTTTGGTCATAACTTCCTGGAGTGTGTAAAATTTTGGTTAGTTTGTCAATCTTCTAGCCAGTCATTACCTTCTCACTGATGGGTCACATTCTGAAATGGAGCTACAAATTAACTGGGGGTTAGGACTCTGAGATTAGCTGGGGCAGTCATTACCTTCTCACTGATGTGTCACATTCTGAAATGGAGCTACAAATTAACTGGGGGTTAGGACTCTGAGATTAGCTGGGGCAAGCCAGATAGGTCTCAAGTATTCTAGCTTCTTACTAAAAGTGCCCTTTAAGCACTTCATCGAGATCTGCCCTGAATTTCAGGTTTTCACCACTTTTCAAAGGGAAGCACTGACAGCAACAAAATACATCCAAGGCCAGAATGTCATGGGGAAGCCATTTTTGCTTCAAATGGTTTAAGGCAGAAAATCTAAATGAGAAGATGCCAGTGACATCGAGGAAGGCTCATGGCCCAAAGCTTCAGATCTATTAATCCTTTCAGAGAAAAGACAAACACAGACACAAGGCACGTCATTTTTTCTTTATGAGAAAACTCAGTCCGGTCAAATTGTCAGGAAAAAAAAATCTCCAAACTGAATAGTATCTATATTTCTTTCACTTACAAATGTCTCAATTATAATGACCTACACTCAATGAAACAACTGCCTTGTGCATGATGTTGGACGTTTATAGACTTGAAACATAATCTCCATTATATTAAATGTATTATATGTGAAATTACTACAAATGATGTAAACAGTGGTTCATTATTTTCAAACAGGGTGGAATGTAATATATGACATTCAAGTAAAATTCACTGTAACTGATTCATACATGTATTATTTCTGTATCTTTCTGAAAGCCAAAGAGATCTATATGGATGATTTACAAGAAAATACATGTAGGTAGCTGGAAATGTGGTTTCACTTCTTGAAAAATCTGACTAACCAAATTCAACCCAGTCTTACAACATTGGTATTGAATATACTTCCAAGATTTGACATTTGTACTTTTCAATTATTTGATTATTCGATGTAAATGACTGAATATAAAGTCAATAACTGCAAGGTAAGATTAACATCTTCATAAGAATGTAAAAAAATAAATTTTAAAGTCAACCATGAAAATCCACCAACAATATGAATGCATGTAATTGTTGACAGCAGAGAAGGTGTGTTGCATGGGCCTATGACTGTAGCTTTCAGAGGGTGTATGAAGGACCTTTTGCCTTACAAATCCAAAAACTTCATCATCTACGTTGGGTCTGCCCACTGCCCAAACAAAAGCAAACTGCCCTTAATATATTTAAAAGTAAGTTTTCACAGTTTAGCCTCAGAACTTTTGTATTTTCCCAATTCACTGCTGAGACCTCTTCAATTTTAAACGAGTGATTTGAAACATTTCATTGAATGAAAATTCAATATTTTAAACAGATTACATTTTCATTGATTGATAATCAATAATTATTTTCTGAACATATACTAAGCACCTACCATATGCCTAGCAGTACTTTTTAAAACCCTGGGTGAAAGCTGGGATATTGTCCTTGAAAAACAATGACTATAAAAGCTACAGGAAGGGTTATTCCTATAAATCATAACATGATTCAAATGTAAGGGAGCCAACAGGTTTCAGGCACCTGGCCCATACCAGGTGCTGCACTATAAGTAGCAGCTTTATTCTAAAAGGCTAATGTGGATCTTTAAAAGATTTTTGTAACTGGGAGGACCCAGGTAGAACATCATGATTTTCCTCACCAGCATGGCTACACCAGGTTTGCAGTTGGCAGGATTATCTATAGAGGTTTTTTTTCCCTTCTTTACAATCCCTTATTAAAGTATGCACGCTGTAATTCAGGATGGGTCTCTCGGATCTTGGCTTGCAACTCAGCCTCCAAGCTTGTCACAGACATGGAGCTGGGAAAAGGGAGAAATGACAAGGTTATTACGTGGGCAGAGGTAGAAACCAGAACCTAGAAAGAACAGGAAGAGGATGCAGGTGTGGAGACCCCATAAGAGGCAGTAAAACAGAGTCCTGTTTGAGATATGCTTCATATGGCTGGAAAATGAGTATCCTGTTTCTTTTAGAAAATTAATTGTCACTAATAATGAAAGAAATAAAACTTAAGAACCCAACACCCAATGCTTTTTACCTCTCAAATTATTAAAAGCTGAAAATCTCTCATTGCTGGCAAGAGTGTATGGTGATAACATTCTCAGACCCTGCTGCTGTCAGGAAAACAACTGGGGAAATGCCACTTTCCAAGGAAAACATTACATTCCAATGTAAATGTTCACCATTGATTAAAAAAGATACATGCACTTAGTGGAATGAATAACATTAAAAATTTGCTTACACTAATGTGCTTTTGTTTATTATATAATAATGCATGCTTATTATAAAACTTTTAGAAAATACTAAATGTACAACAAAAAAACCCACTCATTGTCCCACTACTAAGAGTAACCACTGTTAATCTTTGCTTTATGCATTTAAAAAATGCATTTTTTTTTTTTGTGGCTGGCTAGGATATGAACCCATTACCTTGGTGTTGTAAGGTTGCATTCTAACCAACTATGCTCACCAGCCAGCCCTAAGAAATGTATTTGAGTGTATTATAGGAGTAAATATATGTATTAAGGCTTATTTTTTCTTATAAATGCATATTCATTAAATAAAAGTATTTAAACAATTGTCCAGAATGCTTACTTCCAGAATAGTTGTTAATATTTTGAAGTATTTTGATATGTAATTAGTCTTTTAAATATATTTGGCATTTGATATAGTTGGGATATGGTAACATGTGAGGTAAAAGTCAGGATATAAGTTTGTATAAGAATATGCAAAATAAATAAAATTATGAATACAGAAAAAGACTAGGGAAAAACCCACAGTGGCTATTCCCCATGTGTGGGATTTGAGTAATTTTAAAATGATGATGATGACACTGATGATTCATAATGATAACGGCTATGACTTATTGATCATTTCTTGGACGAGACATTATGCATTTTAATCCTTATAAAAATCATGAGTCAGGTATTATCATAATTTTACAGATAAGGAAACCTGAGGTACAACTGAGATTTGAAGTCAGATCTTTCTTGATTCAAAAGCCATGCTCCTAACCAGTGGGCAATATTGCCTCTTGGTCCTTCTACTTTTTCATTGATCTATAAGTATCAATAATCACTATTAATATATTTTAAAGGCCAAATCTCATTTTGAAATTAAAGTTATTCAAATCTAATTGGGTGATGGGAAGTTTTTTTTTTTTTTTTTTTAAATCTTCTAGGAGAGTTTGTTTAAAATGGAAATAATCTGTTTCTTGACAGGCAAAACTAACCTGTAAAACCATCTGGTTCTTGTGTTTTCTTTGTAAGAAGTTTAAATGTTGCTTCAGCTTCCTTAACGGCTTTAAGTCTATCTATTCAGCCTTTTTAATTTTTCAGTTTTGCTAGTATTTTTCTAGGAATTTCTCTACTTTGCCTGTTTTCAAATCTACTGGTATAATAATGTTGATAATATGCGCTTACTATTTTTTTTTTTTTTTTCATTTTTGTCTTTTTTCATGACCGGCAACGGATCGCAACCCTCAGTGTCGCACCCGTACCGGACCGGGACCGGCAACGGGATCGCAACCCTCGGTGTTGTGCCCGCACCTCGCTCAGCCAGTGAGCGGCCGGTCTGTATGTGGGATCCCAACCCTCGGCGGGAGCACCGCTGCACTCCCAAGCGGCGCACTGTAGCAGTGTGCCACCGGGCCGGCCCCAAGCGCTTACTATCTTTTGAATCGCTGCTTAATTTATAGTTGTGCCTCTTTTTCATTCATAACATTTTTTGTGCCTTTCTCTTTCTGCTTTGATTGATCTCACCAGACAATTGTGTATTTTGTTATTATTTTCAAAGAACTAACTTCTGACTTTGTTGATTCTCTATTCTTTCTTTGTTATTTATTTATTTTGATCTTATTTTCTTTTTCTGGAGTTTATTCTTTTTTTCTTTTTTTAAGTTGGACTTTTAATGCATTGATTTTCAGTCATTCTTCTAATATAAACATTTAAAGCTATAAATTTCTCTCAAAAACATATTGGCTGCTTCCTACAAATTTTAATAAGGAATGTTTCTGTTGTCTCTCATTCACACAGGGAAATGGATAATTGTGGCATATTCATACAATGAACTATTTTATAGTAGTCAACAATGACTGAACTACAACTACATGCAATGATGTAGATGAACCTTAGTTATATGACGTTGAATAAAAAGAACAAATATTAGAAGGCTAGACAGTATGATGCCCTTGTCTAAAAAGTTCCGAAAGAAGAAAAACAAAAGGTGTATATATACGAAGGTACTTTGAAAAGTTTGTGAAAAAAAAATAGAATTAAAAAATAATACGAATCTTCCCATGAACTTTTTGAAGTTTCATCATATACATATATATGAGTTTATACATATGTGTGTGTATAAATGTATACATATAAAATGCAAGAGCATGAAATTCAGCACAGTGGTTAAATCACCAGGGGAAGCAGAGAGACGGGCTGGATGGAGTCCATAAGATGTAATTTACTGGTAATATTGTTATTCACAGGTTGGACAGGGGATTCACGGATGTTCATTCTATCATTAAAATAAATAAAATAAAAACAAATAAAACAGGGCCATGCATGGAGTAATGAACCGAGGAGTTATGATTTATCCCACTCTATGTAACTGAGGAGCACGAGACAAGAAAACAAACACATAAACAAAAAACCAGACCAATAAGCTTTATTTTTAAATAGAGTAAGACAAAAGAGCATTGGTTTCCCAAATGTAAAATCATGTACTCTCTGAGGCTTTGGCCTCATGACACTAGTAGTTACAAAAAACTTTTAATTTCTATACCTGCAGTTTAAATGACCCATAAAAACAAATGTTAGAAAGAATGTATTGCTTTCCTCATAGCACTCTACATCAAGGCTGAAGTCGGAAGCTTCTTTGTGGGTTCTCAAATCTAAATCCTTTTCATCTCAATAGCAGCTGTATTTCTAAGCATTTACCTGGGATCAGGCACTCTTCTGAGCATTTTACACACACTATGTCTAAATCAGGGAGGGCAAGGTCAGCTGCTGAACATGGAACTCATGTGCTACATACGAGAGAAATGAACTATTCTTAGGTTAAGCCCTGAGGTTCTGGGGTTTGTACAATTAAATAGGTATGATCACTCTACTTTAGGGATAAGGAAATTCATCTGTATTGGGCTTCTAGACCAGGTTCTGAAGGTCTTGCCCTTTCAAAGGGGGCTCTTCTGTAGGTACCAAGGTTATGAGCTTTGGATCTCAAATCAAGTACAGTGGGGTCAAAGGGTGAAAGAGCAGACAAAAGGTAGAGTTCTCTGCCAGGTCAAGGGACCTGACATAGTTCTACAATAGAACATCTCATCCGAAACCTACTTTGAAAGGTTAGGGCATGAAAGACCATAGGTTTTGGACCAGAAGGCCCATGAATTTAGGAAAGGATATTACACAGGCAAGCGGCCTGTAACTCTAAAACCAAAAAAACAAAATGCTGCTTCTTTGTGCTCTGGTGTTAAATTCAGAGGAGGCTGGAAACCTAGATATTTAGACAGTGCTGATTAATGCTAGTCAGTCCAGTTCTTAATTTGAAGGCAGGATTCAAGGGCTTTTGTAATAAAAGACATGCACAATAAAGCTTTTAAGGCAAAAAACTAAGTAGGAAGGGAAACAAACATACTAACTACCTACGCTAAGTGTATATAATTGCTGTCCCTGGGAGTGGAACTTAAATTCTAATACAGTATTATAGATGCATTTGCCAATGGATTGAATGATAATAAACCATATTTAAATTTTTATAAAAGCAAATTCGCATCAGAGTTAACCTGACTTTTACAAAAGAATAAAGCATTTTCAAATTTAACAGAAGACGGTAAAAAGAGCTGGGTAAAGAGTTTTGAAATTAGAAGTGGGCTTGATCTCTGCCTCTCTTCCTTTGAAAGACCTCAGCTTCATTATCTTTTTGAGTTTCACCTTCCCTACCAATGAAATGAAAGAACAGCACCTATGTCTCCAAATGATTTTAGAATTAAAACTCACGATCATTCTGAAGAATAACATATACATACCTTTTCTGAGGAAAGAGAGCACAACACAGGGGCGTAGCAAACACCAAACTTTAAAAAAAAAAAAGACAAATCAGTGATTTTGAAATGGTCGACTTTTCAGATTCTTTTTATAATAAACCATTTTCTTTACAGCCTCACAAAAATATGTCCTGGTTGTGTAAATTCTATTGCCTAGGATTGCTAAAATAATGGAAAAAAAAAAAAAATCAAAGAGAGAACAGGAGTCCCACATGTTGTTGATTCCTTTAAAGACAGTTTACTTCTATCTAATTATTGGGACAATAAGTTCCAGATGTTTTGGAATGGTCTTATTTTCAAAACCTTTGTCCCATATTACCCATCCTTTCCCCCACCTTTCATATGGTATTTATCTTTAAACAAAGAAATTAATTCTACAAAAGTAATTTGTACTCACCAGAAGCCAACTAATCCAACTTGAATAGGCGCGCTCATCCATGGAAACCTCTGTGTTGAGAAATAAATGATTTTGAATATTTTTTATACAGGTACTCAGAGACAATTTCTTCTGCTGATTAACTGGAAGGAACCTCTCCAGTTACAAGCTCCAGGTGGACTGTGGTTAGTAAAATTTTGGGTAATGCTGCAACAAGCGTGTTAGTCCTGACTTCCTGCAGCCCTCTTTGATCTGTAAATGAACACATGCAAAAATCAAGTGGCTTCTATTTTTTTTCCCTTGCACATACAATCTGAGTACTGCTTGGCTAGATACAGGAGGTGGAAAAATAGCTATCATTTGATTATGATTTATCTCCTAGGTGGGGAGGCAGTATAGTCTGGCACCAAGGTTTGAAGACAAGCGAACCTGCACTTAAATCTCTGCCGTACCAGTTAGTTCCTCACTGTGAGAAAGGGCAGGCAGAGCATAACCTCTCCAAGCTTTGTTTTCCTTGTTATGATCCTAAATGAGCATTGTAACAGCTTCCTAAAAGTGTGCGGGTTAAGATATGCCAGATAACATTCATAAAGCACCCAGCACAGTGCCCAGAACATAGCAGAAACCCAACAAGCATTTACCATCCCCATGCCCCCTTGCACCTTATCTCTCTTAGTTTTAGTCACTGTCAGTATGGTTAAAACGATTTCTAGCATAAAACACTTTTGCTACATATATATTATATATATATATATATATATATATTTTTAATGGAAGCAAACCAGTTGGTTGGTCTTTTGGAGAATAAATGCTGTTAGCTTTTTAGTTTTAAAAAGGGAGTGGTACCAAAATCCACAGTATGAAGAGCGATGAGCGGTATGGTTATATAAGTAGGGCTACAGAAAGAGCTGCAACAAAGTCGTGAACTGGTTGTAATGAAATCAGCCAACTTAGTTAAGAGTCAACACAAGCTGCTACGAAATAATGTGCATGAGAGGCATACCCTGGTCCCCGAGGAGACTTCTCTGGTGAAAGAGTACATCAGGAAGGTCAATGTAAGGGGAGAAAGGTATGAACTAGAGAGGAAGGGAGAAACGTCATCAGGAGAATGATCCACAGAGGCGACAGAGGGGCACCACCCCTCAAAAGACAGAAAGAAAAGGAAAGTACTGTATCTTGGGCAACTGGCTCTGTTTGACGATGAGGGATTTTCATAAAGAGATGGCAAATACTCGTCTTAGTACCTCCTGGACATGTGACATCTGGGCTGGCACACACTTGGTGACGGGAAGGCAAGCTAAGTACTGAATGAGATCCTGTGGATGGATTAACTTGAGCCTGTGAGAGCAGCCTCCTCATTTCAAGTGGACTCTTGTCTGCAGCTAACTGGGCTAACCTGTTATCTAAAAGGGAAGAGCTGCATGTCATCTCAGAGATGGACATGTGCAGACTAAATGCTGACTGTGGTGCATGCAGAGGGTTTGATGAAAAGGCTCCTTGTAATGACCATAATCTTGGAGGATTCAGGCTTATCCTGCAAAACCCAGCATGGATGTCATCCCTTTCCCCTACTCCTCTGCACCCCCCTATGCCTAATTCATGCTTACTTCTCAAACGGAACTTAGTCTGAGAGTAAATTAATGAGCTGAGGATGTCTCGTCTTTCACTAGATACAGAATTCTTCAAGTTGGGGACTTGTCTTACCTAACAGAACCTTGCAAACAGAGGCTATTTTAAATAAAAAGTTCAAATGAATTAAAGACAGTACTCATAACTTTAAAAGATATATGTATTCAATGAAGTAAAAAGCTCAAAAAGTTAATATGACTTTAAATTTTTCCTCCCAATAGTCTTTTTTCCAAAAGTTTTATTGGCATATGATCAACTGCACGTATTTAATGTGTACAATATAAGTTTCAACATATGTATACAGCTGTGAAGCCATTGCCACAATCAAAATAATAAACATATTCATCACCTCAAATGTTTTCCTTGTTCGTGTCCCTTTGCTATTCTTCCTCTTTTCTAAACTCTGCACCCCGTTTCCTGGCAATCTCTGATCTACTTTCTCTGACTACTACTTATTAAGTTTATATCTTATAGGATTTTATATACAGTATCTGCTCTTTTGTGTAATTACTTGGAAATTCATTTGTTTGTTCATTCATATATTTATTCAGCAGCTCTTTGGTAAACATCTGTTGTTGTATGCCAAGCAATGTGCTAGGTACTAGAGTCACAGGAATAGGACATGAGCTTTGATGGGGGAAAGAGGCACAGGACAAATGCTTACAATACATGGGGTCAGTGTGTGGGGCACAGGTACCTTACCCAACTGGTGCAGGTGGGCGGAGACTTGAGGAGCACTGGCCAGGGTCTGGCCATGTGTTCTACTAAAGCTCAGCAAGGATACAGAGCATGACTTGTTGGGAGATTTGTAGATGGTTAGGTTGGCTGGAATGTAGACAATATGTAGGGAATTGACTGTACCATGTACAAAAATTAACTCTCAATGGTTCATGGAATCTAAATGTAAAAGTCTACAACTATAAAACTTCTAGAAGAAAATATAATAGAACACTGGGTTTAGACACAACAACAAAAGCATAGTCCATAAAAGAAAAATTGAAAATTTAGACTTCAAAATGTTTAAATTCTGTTCTTCAGAAGAAGAAACAGACTGGGAGAAAATTTTTGCAAGGCACATATCTGATAAAGGACTTTTATCTAGAATATATAAGGAATCCTCAACACTTATTCAATAAAACAACTGAGTAAAAAAGTGGGCAAAGGGTTTGAATAGACACTTCACCAAATATACACAGATATCAAATAAGCACGTGAAAAGATGCTCAGTGTCTTTAGTCATTGGGGAAATTTAAATTAAAACCACAGGACCTACCACTATGCACATATCAGAATGGCTAACATTAAAAACACTAACTAGAACAAGTGTTGGTGAGGATATGAAGGAACTGGAACCGTTACGCCCTCTTGGTGGGAATGTGAAATGGTGCAGTCACTTTGGAAAATGGTTTGGCAGGTTTTTACAAAGTTAAACATATGCTACCATGTGAGTCAGTCATTTCATTCCTAGGTATTTACCTAGGAGAAATGAAAGCACATGTCCATAAAAGACAAATGTTCATAGCAGTTTTACTTGTAATAGCCCCAACTAGAAACAATCCAAATGTTTATCAACAGAATGGATAAACACATTGTGGTGGAGCCACACAATGGAACACTTCCCTCAACAAGAAAAAGTAACAAACTATTGATACACACAACAGCATGAACGACTCTCAAAGTAATTACACAAAAGGGCAGATACTGTACGTAAAATCCTATAAAATGTTAACTAATATATAGTGACAGAAAGTAGATCAGAGGTTGCCAGGTCACGGGGTGCAGGGTTTAGGGAAGAGGGAGGAACTGCAAAGAAACACAAGGAAAACATTTGAGGTGATGAATATGTTTATTGTTTTCATTGTGGCGGCGGCTTCACAGCTGTATACATGAATGAACAAATAAATGCTACATTCACATCCACTTAGCAGGCGATCCTGAAAATCTACTGAGTAGACACAGAAGCCCACTTTTATGAAAGGGAATATAAAAGAACTGGAACTTAAGGAGTGAGAATGGCTACAGGACCCAAATCATATCAATTTTATTCCCAAAGTGCCAGTTAGAATGACCTAAGTTGAAAGAGAAAACAGGAACTATTCTTCAAGAAAACTGTTCATGGAAGCACCAGATTTTAGGCAGTGAACTTTTCAGTTTTCTGCAAAAATTTCTGTGAGTCACCTGCCCACAGCCGATGCCTTTTTCCAGCACTGCACTTGGGAAAAGATAAGGCGTGGGGGGAAGATGAGTCACGCCAAATGCTTCCCAAGCGTCCACACTTAAAAATACCAAGAATGTTCAATTGGTTTCACGATTGCAGAGGAGTTCGGTCACAGCCGAGGTAAAGCCCAGATAAGTATACCCTTGCAGAGGAGGCACGCCTGGCCATGGCAGCCGTGTGAACAAGGGGAGGGCCAGCTGAGGCAGACATCACTCACATGGGCATTATGAGCTGCTGAGGACATGATCTCTCAAGCCTTTGTAGAAGGGGCATGGGAAAGCCTCCCTTTGGAAATAGTATGAGAAAGTGCCTTGAACACGGGAGAGTATGGATATTAATATAAGCTGCCTCAGTGTGTTTTAGCAATGGCTATATGGCCAATTAAGTCCTATGGTCCTCTCTATGTGGGTAAAATGCAATATTTAAGTGTAACGGCAACCCTGAACTTGGGAGTGGTGGGTGCATATGGGTACCTCAACAGTATTCAGCCGTTACTTTTCAAAGCAACATCTTCCATTGAGGTCTCAAGGAGTACAGCTACAACCAGACCCCTGCAGCTAGGGAGGTGCTTGGAATGACCCGTGAGCTACTCTGACCATCTCTGCTGACCTTGCCACAGGGTCTCCAAACCATTGGCCCCTTCAGTTTGGGGGTAGGGAAGGCAGAGGACTTCTGTAGGAAGAATAAACTAGCTGGCACACTTCCATACTGTTATTGAAGGGTACACTATCAAGCAAAGCTAAAAAATACAAATTAAGATGAGGGCGAGAAAAACATGACATTTATTCACCTTATTATATAATAGCCTGGAACAATGTGGTGGTGGTGAGCTGAGATCATTTGCTAGTTCCTTCATGTCAGAAAATGCCAGGCTATGTTGATAGCAAATTCCATCTGTCATAGCAAGAAAATTATGCAATATTCCCAACTATGACTTCTGTCCAGTGTCTGTGACTGAGAGATTAGAGCAACTGTGGCAACTGTTCCAACACTGAGACCCCAGGAATTCAGAGGCATGACTGGATTGGGAGAATGAAATACTGACTTCATTTCATGTGTTTCCCTGGTGGCCAAACTTATCAGCATAAATGTAGGTTGAAATGCAGACTTTCTTATAGAATTTCTGGAATCACAAACCATCATCTGGACACCTGTTAGCAACCAGAGTCTGCCCATTGTCCACAGGCTGGAGCTGGACTCCACTGAAAAATGTTCCTCTGGCAGCAGCAAGTGACAAGATTCTGAGACTTTACTACAGAGCCACACCACTAAGACCCTTCTGCTACTTTGAGTGTTGGGTGGCATGTGAGAGGCTGAGAGAAAGGACCAGGAAAAGCTTGAATGGTGGAGACGTTGCACTGAAGGTGGCCTCCAAGCTCCTTTCACAGTCTCCTGCACATTCATCACGCCCATGACCTTGTTACACTATTGGTTGAATGATCCACATTTACTATGCCTCTTGTGCAAAAGCTGTCACTTTTATGTCACACAAACTAAAATGATAAGATGACAATTTCCAAACCTTCTATCCACATAGAAATCTCATGGGGTTCATGCATCGACACACAACAACTGGGTGTGTCCATCAAATGAGGTGCTCAATATTAACTGTTTCTTCATAGCATATTATTTCAGCTTATTTTTCTAAGAATGCAATTGTATAGTGCTTACAAAGTGGTCAGTTAGGGTTGGCCTTAGTTTTCCTATGGGTGCCCACAGGGGGTATACAGGTCTATGAACATACCTATAGGGTATTTAGAATTTTACTAATCACTCACCTCATTTAAGAAGTGTTTGGTCTGTGAACAATGGCCTTTTTTCAAAGCTTGATAGTGTAGGGGCCAGCCGTGGCTCACTTGAGAGAGTGTGGTGCTGATAACACCAAGTCCACAGGTTCAGATCCCTATATAGGGATGGCTGGTTTGCTCACTTGGGAGAGCGTGGTGCTGACAAAGCTTGATAGTGTCCCCTCGGTGCTATAGTTCTGTTTCTAAGACCCTAAACAACTCACCCCAAGGGAGCTGCCATCTGCACCACAACACACCTGCTTCTGCATAAAGGAACCCAAGCCATTTCTCCTGGCAGATCTAACCATGTCAGTTTCCAAACACAGCAGGAGCCAAATGAGTCACCCTGTCCCACTGTATACTACCTGTTATAAGAATAAATAATGTTGTACTAAATCATGGAACCTACAAAAAACAATCTATAGAGAATGCATAAAGTGCACTGAGATTTCTTGGTTACAGTTTCATCCTGTAATACTTTCAGACCTTATGGGGAGGCAGCTGATAGATTAATACATTATTAGATATGATCACCAAAGAAAAACACACCAGGGCTCTAAATTCGATGTTCCACGAAGCTACTACGCCACATTATTTTTTCATTTCTGATAGTATGGATAGTGACTTATAAAACATATCATTCTAAATTCACACCATCTCTTCATTCTTACCTATCTAGGCATCCAATAGATGACTAGCAGTATAAACAAGTTATAACTTCTCAATAGCAACAGTCTTCATTTACAAAAGCTTTGTCAAATATCTGAGATTAGAAATAAAATGTTCCTGGAAACATCTTTTTATTTATCTAAGTGCCCAAGAAAAACTAACCTTCAAATTCTTTACTCATTATTTATGTAGGAAATATTCTGTATAGTTTGAGGTCTGGAAAGGAATGAAAAGGATTGAGAAAAGGACAGATAAAACTGGGGCTTACCTTCAAAAAGGCTTTCTTTTCCAAAGTGTTCATGATAAATGGAGGGATGGCTGGAAGTAAAAATAGATCCACTTAAATCTTTATTTAACGTCTATTTTCAGCTCACATTTTTTCCAACAATTTGACAAAATGCTTATGTCAATTCTTTAAATTATTAAATTTAGATTTTTTAAATTGAAAAATCTCTAGATTTTTGAAAAATTATGTAATATCCTCTGCCGGCAAGAAAATTTTATAATCTTGAAGACAACTCTACATTTAACTTTAAACAGGTAACAATACAAACATCAGGAACTTTTCACTCCCATATTAGTGATACAAATATGACTTTCCTTGTATGTCCATCGATCACTTATAGAGGACAGTGTGAAGAATTCTGTCTTGAGTCAGGCAGAAATCGCTTTTGTACGGGCTAGGCCACTTGCTAACTGGTGATCCTGGAAAAGTTACCTAACTTCTCTGAGCCTAAGTTTTCATTTAATCCAATTTCCTCATGTATAAAATGGGGAAAATTGTATTAAACTGGCTGTGCTGATTAGATGCCATAATGCATGTAAAACGTGGACTAAACAGCCATATCAGCTACATCAATATGTCAATTACCTTTATAAATTTCACTGGGATAGAAAGATTGTGTTTCTTCTCTGGGAACTACATAGTGCTTAAAATAAGCAACTCACTGGAAACAGATTTGTTGGGCAAGCTGAACTCCACAAGGAAAAAGGCATTTCAGAGTGGGGAAGACCGAAACCAAAAGCAAACCCAGAGTAGAAGATGGAGTTTCAACCTTGATGTCAGCAAATCTGGAAATCAAGGATCAGTGGGGCATATTGGGGTGGGCTCCAGAGTCCCCTCCTATGTTGCTGGTCCCAGGCTCAGGGGACTCTGCCTGCATTTCAGGACTGTGGTTTCCTTACCAGTCCTGCAGAACACACTGGCGTCCCACAAGGGCACCGAGGTGTTTCTTTGTTAAATCAGACAATGGTGGTCTTTCCCCAAATAGCTGGAGTGTGAATAAAATGTTCGTTCAAGTTTTCCTTTATGCACTTTTCTTCAACTTTTGTTGCTACTCCTACTTGCCTGCTCTTGGGCATTCACAGTGACAAAAGGAATTAAAAAACAGCAGAAAACATCAGTGGGAAAACTCGACAGCAGCTGACTAAGTATGCTTCATTTGAGAGCTCTGTTTTAATAGCCATGTGCTGTTTGCATGCAGTTTAGATGATGAAATTAAACATACTAATTTCTGCTTTTTTTCTGCAGAGAGCACTATACTTCCCAGGCCCTGTGATTTCTAAGTCTCGGAACCTTCTCTAGGTCCCTGGCCTTGAGGCAGCTCTGAGCAGCCTGACGGGTGGACCAGAGGTTCTCAGAGGAACTAAATGCAATGTGGACTTGCTGCTTTGGGTCCTGCTGACTCCAAGGCCTATGGAGAAAACTGAGAACTCACTTGGCACACTTGGTTTTATTAATAGCTGCCCCAACTGTTCCAATTTGCTCCATGTTCCAATGTTCTAACTGAGACAAATAAATCTTCAGTAGACATTATTTCCACCCAATGACTTTTGGAAGTTTCTTTTCAAGATTTATAAAGATCAGATTCCTTCCCTTCAAGTTCTCATCACCTGCACCGCAATGTCCTGGCCACTGCCAGGGCCTCTTGCCTGGAATGCAGGTTGAGTATCCCTTATCTGAAGTGCTTGGGACTGGAAGTGTTGCGAGTTTCAGACTTTTTCAGATTTTGGAATATTTACATTATACTTATGGTAGAGCATCCCAAATCCAAAAATCCAAAATCCAAAATGCTCCAGTGAGCACTTCCTTTAAGCGTCATGCCTGTGCTCAAGTTTTGGATTTTGTAGCATTTTGGATTTTGGATTTGGGATGTTCGACCTGTACTGAGACAGCCTCCTAAACAGTTTCCTCTGACATTCTTGTTTCTCCTTCAATCTATTCTCAACATAACACCTAACGTCCTGCAGTTAAAACCTAAGTTGGATGATGCCACTCCCTTCGTACTGCTCCCTACCTCCCTCGCTCTACTCCAACTGCACCTGCTTCCTTCCAAAGATATAGATTAATATTACTTTAAAGTCAAAAAAAATTCTAGAGGGAAAGAGGAACCAATTTTAGAGACTAAATTTGCATAGACCTTCCTTGTGATGCCTGTAACACCAGGCAAACTCCTGTCTCTCTGTTGCTGTTACCTCTGCCTGGAATATTGGTCGCCAATACCACTCAGCTCACTCCCTCACCTGCATCCAGTCCTACTTGCACCCCAACATCACCTGTTCTACCTTTCCCTCTTAGCCCTTTCACTGTTTCACATACTATATATTTTATTTACTTGTTTATTTTCTGTCTCCTGCACTAGAAGGTAGTTTCTAACAAGGGGAGTAATTTTTTTTTTTTTTTGTTCACTGATACATAAAAGCTTGTTCAACTTATATTTATGGAATAAATGGATGGATGGCAAAGTCCTACTAACCCATGCCAGGGGCTGCCATGAGAATCCTGGAGACGACCACCTGGGTGATGGCTTGTTTTGCAGCGTTGGCCGATTCACCCAAGCGGTTCCCATTTTCATCTGTGACAGGAATGCCAACTTTGAGTTCCCTGCAGAGCAGAACACATGCAAAGAAGTTCACAAATGCCTTCATGAAATGTCCTGAGATAGTACTATGTTGGGAAAGATCAAGTCCCTACTTATCCAAATACCCACTCAAGTGTCATTTTTGGCACTGACAAGTCTATTTTTAAATACCATGAACAAGTTTAATCCTCCTTGTGATAGACACAAAAGTAAAATAACACTAGTAAATTTTTTTAAAGGGTGTACCTTTTCAATAACAATATGATTCAAAGGGTGGATATACTAACTTAAAGATAAGGCTAATTTTATGCTCCCATACAAATTTGAGCAACTTTCCAAATGAGAAATAGATATAATACACAGCATTACTAAGTCAACTAACTGTACTGACATAGAAGGAGTCACTACTACATGGCTCTACCGGACGTTTATTAACTATAGTTACTAACACTATAATTATAACTTCTACTGTTACCCTGTTTTTTGTTATCCATTCCAAAATGCTTTTTCTCGTCCTTTCTTCTCCTTTAATTTTTGCCAGTTCTAAAAAAATACTTTCAAAGATATAGGTTAATATTACTTTAAAGCCAGAAAGAAAATTTTGGGGGGAAAAAAGGAACCAATTTTAGAGAATATACTTTCTTTGTATAGTCCTTCCTTGTCTAACTCAAGCACAATTCAATGTAAGCTTGAGATATATCCTTTAAACTTTTTATTATACAGAAGTAGAAAGACTATTCTAAACCCCCATGCCCTCACCATCCTGCTTGAATAATTAGCAACTCACGGCTCAGCTTGTTTTGTCAATGGGTCCAACCTCATCCCCAAACTCAGATTATTTTGAAGCAAATCCCAGATCTCATATAATTTCATTTGTACATATTAAAATAAATTTTTAAAAGTTTCAACAAAGCTAATTATCATAAGAGACTCTTCTGTCAAGTGCAAGTCCTCTCTGAGAGTGCACGTTCACCTTACCTTTGCCTCATTAATGGAATGTTAATGCAATTAGCAGCAGCTACAGCAGCAAAGGGAACAAAACGTCCTATCAGTGGTGAGACATGCTGCAGAAAAGACAATTCCAAAAACGTTATCTTACTTTCCCTGTACTAATGAATGGAAATACTTATTTCTTCTTGTGAACTCTTAAAAATGCAGAGTCCTCTTTGTAGAGAAACTCAAGTCAAGAGTACTTTCAAAACTTGTTTCCTAGTGGTCTGTTCATATTTCAAGCATGGGCACACTGGGACAATGCAGTCTTCTAAGACATTTTGACAGCTTAGTGCGGTTGAAGGAGTACGGACTTTGGAATCCCAGAGTTCAGATTCTGGCTCTTCCACCTCATTGAAGGCACCCTGCCCACCACACAGCTCAGGTGGGCTGTTAGGGTGGGCAAGCACTTAGCACTTCATCCACAGTGAGGCACAGACCACACAGTCCTGGCAGACGTTATTGTTGACAACCCTTCCAAACTTATTGTAAGATATAATTAAAATGTGCAGCTGAAGATAATGCCAATAATAAAACAGCCATGTGACTTGAACTATTTTGAGAAATAATAGAGGGACTCAGAGCCAGATAGGTGAGAACAAATTAAGAAGATATTTTTTATCAAAATAAAAATCCAAGTACCTTGGTCAATGCATTAAGTCCTAGAGCTGTTGCTACAGCACCCGTTGTTGCAGAAACGTAAGCTGTTCCCAATTCACTAAAAAGAAAACAAACAACATTGCGCAAATGAGGAGTGTACGTCAGAAAACTCTGGCGCAACATTATTTGAATAAATAAGAATGAAATATAAAAGGGCATGATGAAGAATGGGGAGTCCACAAAAACAACATTCATTATCACTCTACAAGTAGAGAAATATAGAGAAAAAGCAAGTAGATGTATAAAAAATGGGCCTCTTCACATATAACCTGACTACAGACTACGCACTGGTAGGAGGTAGGGAAGGAGGGGAGTTGTCAGTGTGCTGGAAGCTACAAATGCAGGGAAATGCATATTGGGCTCAATGTTTAAAGCATATTTGCTTAAATAAAAAATACTTCTCAAAATACTGATATTCATAAGGGATGCAAAACTGCAGTGCTGCCGTCCTGAAAATGTTACTCACTGCATAGAAGTACAAAAGGCTTGTTTTCAAAATGCAATTAAACACAAGCAATTCTCTCTTCTTTTAAGAGAAATTTTAATTGCGATAAATACTGCTGGGTTGCAGATGTCAACTTCCTTTGTGATATATGACAGTAAAAGAATATAGCTATTTAAGAAGAATTTTAAGTGATAAAAAAAAATTTCTTTCAAGTGTTATACAAGTTACGCTAACATTTTTGGTTAACCTCTTTAGCTTGTCTAAAAATTTTTTTACAGGAGGCAAATTTTTAAACTCATTGCTTTCTTTTGGGTTCCATAGATGAGCTATTTTAAAAACAAATCAGATATAAAGGTCATGCCACCATGGTCACTCTTGATTTCTGCAGAGACCATGCTGTTGACCTTCTACTTTGGGTGTTGGTGGCTGTCTACTTGGGCAGGGTAGGTGGGGGTACAGTTTGTCACTTATCAGAGGCTAACCTGCAGGGGCAATGAGCTCCAGAGTGTGAGAGAGGTAGCGTCCTACCAGCACCACTAACGACTTGAGTAATATCTGAGAAGGCAGCTGGAAGTAAACAGTTATCTTGACAGAGAGGGAGGAAAAGAAACACTTTACTTAAAAATATGCTACATAATATTCTGAATGATATGAACAAATTGTACCAATTTCCTTTTTGAAATAGGAGAGCATCCCCACTTAAATGCACACTGGGGAACTGGGGAGGACAGTTAAATCTCACAGCCTTACTTTACAGTGAGGGGAGCGTCTCCACTTCTGTTGGTGTAATTGACGACAGCATTGAAGGACTGGTTAATCCACTGCCAGAACAGCACGGCCGGCGTAGTCCTAAAACAGAGCGAACCATCACACACCCACCATCACTTGTGACCTAGCTGCTGCAAAGAACAGAAAATGGGAACACCAGTAACCAGAGAGGAGACATCCTGGAGATGGGAGAAAGTTGGTGCATGCTGAGTGTTGGGTCACAGGCTTAGGGTCGGTGTGGCCGGGCAGACTTTTATCGTCCCTGATCATCATTTTCTTCATTCATTAGCTAGAGATAACACCAAGCTCAGAGGGTAAACGAGGATGAAGTAAGACAAAATCTGTGGAGAGCTTGGCAGAGTAGACACTCATTAAATGCTAGGTCCCTTCTTTTTGGGTAAAAAGAAGCTATTTGTAGGCTAAGCAGTCATGGCGCCTCCAAACTGCACGTGCAGTCCTACATATCCGTATATGTGTATGTCTATATCTGTGTCTGTGTCTATGTCTATATACCTGTACCTCTATCAATATAAATGGATTAAAAGGAGAATTTGCTTGCAAAAATCTTTATTTTCTTCATCTAATTTTCTTTTGGGTCTAAGATTTAAAAAAAAAATTCAACCTCCTTTTGAAAACAAGGTGATATTTAGCAGAGGGAAAAAGTAAAACAGACCCCTAGTGTAGCAATATTTATAGAAAATGGAACTAAAAGTGAAGTGACATTTATTTTTTTAAAAGCAACACCCCTGTTTTATTCTTTTTTAAAAATTTAATGTTTTATTGAATATATTCATAAACATATTTATGATCCAACATCACATTGTGATGTTTTGATATACGCATACGGTGTGGAATGATTCAATCAAGATAATCAACATACTCATCACCTCATACACTTAGGACATGACATTTATTTCAATCAAATTATTTACATGCAAAAAATATACTTGAAGCTTCTGTAATATCAAATAAACTAACTGTTGTCACATATCCATAACTCACCTATAAAATGTCATCATACAACCTGTGATGGTCATATTCATGGGAACCTGAGCGGACATTCTTCCTATCAAAATCATCTTTTCACCAGTGTCAGGATGGAAAGCTGAGTCGTAGATGTACTTTGCTCTCCATAATTCATTTTCTGTAAGACCTGGAGGAAAAATTCCTTGTCTGAAAAACAACAACGAATAACATGGCGATTGTTCATTCTGAGTATCTCACCAGTGCCCTAGAGGTTTTTAAAACCTACAGGTTTTTAAAAGTTTATGCTTACCTAAAACAACTGTGCCCAGAAGGAATGACAAATCTGTTACATACAATGAGTAAAAGTTTAAAAAGATAAAGGACCATAAGCACTTAAAATGAACACTTCAAACCTATTCACTTCAAAAAACCTATAATTTGGAAAAGCAGAAGAATTACTATCTTACATAATTAGAAAGTCCTCAACTTTGAAGTATTCTTTGTTTTAAATGACATATTTAAAAATGTATTTCGAACTTTGGAAACTTTTTCTTCGCAAATTATTTTTAACCAATTAGACAAAACCTAATGGCAATCAAGAATGTTAATTTATTTTTAAACCTAAGCTTAAAAACCTATACTTCTGGCATTTTCATAATAGTTGTTTTCTTTTTGTCATTTAGTTTTTAATTTTTGTGGAATTTATCTTCAAATATGAAATGTGAAACTTGCCTAACTTCATTTCTGAGTCGGCGGGTCTGTTTTGAGATTTTGTGAATACTGTGCTTGATTTCTGTTTTGTTCCTATTATCTACATATTTTGATGTTAATACCCACAATTTAAATTTGACAATCTAATTTTTGGTAGAACAATTGTCCCTCACTCCATTCTTTTTATTTTTCAAAAATGCCTTAGTTACCCAGGCTTACTGCATGTCTCTCCAGTTACCCAAACGCTTCTTTTATAATAACTCCCAGTGGTCTTGTAATTGCCACACTTGTGGGCAGGTTTGTTCCCAGTTACTTTACATCGTTCTTATGAATGCAAATAAAAAATTGTCTGATTATTGCTGGTATATAGGAAACTACCGACATTTTCTGTACATTATTTGAAGCCTCTTTATTGTATTCTTTTATTTGTTTCACTGTTTTTTCATTTGATTGTTGAAAATACCATTATTTGCAAAAAAAAAAAAAAAAAAACCATGTTCCCAGTTACTTTACATCGTTCTTATGAATGCAAATAAAAAATTGTCTGATTATTGCTGGTATATAGGAAACTACCGACATTTTCTGTACATTATTTGAAGCCTCTTTATTGTATTCTTTTATTTGTTTCACTGTTTTTTCATTTGATTGTTGAAAATACCATTATTTGCAAAAAAAAAAAAAAAACCCTCATCTTTTCAATGTTTCTACATCTTACTTCTTGTTCTGCCTTACTGAATTGATTAGGGCTTCTAGAACAATGTTATATACATAGCAAAGATAAAGGCATCCTGGACTTGCTCCTGACTTTACTGAGAATGCTCACGGTGCGGTATTTCCAGGGAAGCGCTCTCTTGAATACTAACAAATGTTACAGGGGGAAAGGAGGCCCACATTCAATTTTGGGAAAATGAGTTAAACAGCTTTCTCTACTCCTTGATTTCCTGGAAACTTAAAAAGCTTAATGATAAATATGTATAATCAATTGTTTCGATTAAAAAATAAATTAAAAAAAGTTTATGAGCTGTAATATTCTCAAGAGTGGGATGTAAACTTTCCCAACTTTGTTTACACAAACTTCCTTCCTTCCTTCCTTCATCCCTCCCCCCCTCCTCCCCCTCTCCCTCAGGATTACGTTTCTGCAGAAGTCTTTTCGGGAAGTTCAGCTCTGAAGACAAACTTCCTTCCTTCCTTCCTTCATCCCTCCCTCCCTCTTCCCCCTCTCCCTCAGGATTACGTTTCTGCAGAAGTCTTTTCGGGAAGTTCAGCTCTGAAGAGTTTCATTACTTAGTGTGGTGCTGGCTACTAATGTGAAATATGTATTCTTAATCATATTAAAGAAGTACTATACATTATTCTTAGCTGATTATTTTATGAGAAATAGACGTATAATCTTACCTTCTTCTGGGCACCTATCAAGATGTGGCTTTTTTGCTTTGACCTACTGATGTGATAAATTACATTAATAAATGTCCTAAAATTAAATCACCTTTTCATTCTTTGAATAAATCGTACTAGTTCATGTTTAACATAAAGCTGGATTTGATGTGTTAGTATTTTATTTTGGATTTTTGCATTATTGATTTGTAAGATGGACCATGTTTTAGTATATTTTTATCATTTATAGTATCAGGGTTGCAAATGAATTGGGAAGCATCTCCTTTTTTCCTATGCTCTCATCACATTTTTAAATTAAATCAGTTTTATTGAGGGATAATTTAAATACAATAAAAGTAATCCATTTTAAACGTACAATTTGATGAGCTTTGAAACATGTACATGGTGCAACCACCTCCAGAATCATGGTATAGAATATTTTTGTCTCTCTAACAGCTTCTTCAGGCCCCTCTGGAGTCATTCACTCACTCTTGGCAACCATGGCTCTGCTTCTAGCACTATAGTATTGTCTTTTCAAGAATTTCACATGACTGGAATCATACAGTGATCATAGTGTTTTGTGTCTAGCTTCTTTCACTTTTGAGTGATGCACGCTTGCTGGTTAATTGGTTAATGAGTAGTATTCCATTCAATGAATGCACCACCAGTTCTATTTTTAGCCATTCCAGTAGGTGTGAACTGGTACCTCCTTGTGGTTTTACTTTGCATTCTCCTAGCAACTAATAACCTCGAGCATCTTTTCATGTGCTTCCTTGTTATTCCTATACTTTTTTTTTGCATTTTTAAAAAATTTTACTTCTCAAAATGCACTGTACTTGATTTTCATGCCCCCTTACCCGTTCCTCTCCACCAGCCCCCCAAAATCGTATCTGTTCACTTGACTTAAATAGTTCAAGGAATTTCTGTGGTTATTCTGTCTTCTTTTCCCCCCACCCTTGATTTCTGTGTGTGTTTATTTATTCCTATACTTTCTCTGGTGAAGTGTTGTCAGTCTACTCAAATCTTTTGACCATTTTCCAAAAATCCAGTTGCCTTATTAATGAATTGAAAGAGTTCTCTCTATCTTCTGGATACAAATCCTTTATAGACATAAAGTTTGCAAATATTTTTTGTCAGTCTGTGAATTGTATTTTTATTTTCTATAGTGTCTTCTGTAGTGGTAAGACTTTTTTTTACTTTTGATGAAGTTCAGTTTATCAATGTTTTCCTTTATTGTTCATGCTTATGTCCTATCTATGAAATCGTTGCCTATCTCAAAGATTTTCACCTAAAGTTTTATAGTCTTAGATCATACATTGAGGTCTATCAGCCATTTCAAGTTAAATTTTGTTTATAGTATAAAGTAAGGATAAATGTACACCTTTTAAATATGACTATCCAATTCATTGAACAGAATATCTTCTCCTCAATGAATTCAACAATTGGTTTACTAACTAATACATAGTATGAAGTAAGGATAAATGTACACCTTTTAAAGATGACTACCCAATTCATTGAACAGAATATCTTCTCCTCAATGAATTCAACAATTGGTTTACTAACTAATATATATAAAAGCAGATAGCAGAGAACCACAACAAACACATCCCTAATCCTCAGTTGAAGCAGGCATAGGCAATTTATCACACAGACTTTCAGGGTCTATGTGCTTTAAAAGGGTAAAGAGACAAGGTGGTGAGACACTTGGAGATTCTTGGAAGAATGCATTGTAATTTTATGTGTACAATTACATCATACATATACTTAGACATGTAGGTAGCAGTGCTCATGCACTCTGGGGAGCCATGCGTTATTGAGATTTTTAAGTGTTTTTACCCAATTTTAAATTCTTTGATTTAAATACTTTTAACAAATGAGGGTACTTCCAAAAGTTCATGGAAAGATTTGCCTTATCTTTTAATTCTATTTCTCCATGAACTTTTTTTTTTTTTTTTTCCTTTTTGTCTCTTTTTTCGTGTCCGGCAACGGATCGCAACCCTCAGTGTTGCGCCCGTACCGGACCGGGACCGGCAACGGGATCGCAACCCTCGGTGTTGCTCCCACACCTCGCTCAGCCAGTGAGCGGGAACCGGTCTGTATGTGGGATCCGAACCCTTGGCGGGAGCGCCACCGCACTCCCAAGCGGTGCACTGTAACAGTGCACCACCGGGCCGGCCCTCCGTGAACTTTTTGAAGTACCCTTGTATATTATTATAACAAAGCTATCTGGCTTTTTCCAAATTGTTTTATTATTTTTAAGGCTTCTATATCTGTTCTTTGGTTTTATTTCTAGGCATATTGACTGTATTTTCTTTGTTTTTATGACTCCAGGGTTTTAAAAAGAATATACTAAGATTTAATTTGACAAGTAGTTAATTTAAGACTTTCAAATCATTCTGTAATCATTCTTTACTATGTTACATTTCTCTAACATAGTAAAGAGCAAAACTAAATATATTTTTGAGTTTCCCTCCTACTTAAGACAAGAATGCCCAGTATACTTTAATTCCTTCACTGTCTTGTTTTTAGATACAACAATGTAGGGCTTTAGATTCAGATGGATATTGCTATTTGTTACAAAACCCTTTTTATTTCTTTTTCCTATACAATGTTTTATAACTAGAGACACAACAATTATTTCTATTTTAATAGGTTTCAACATCCATCACTAGTCTATTTATAGTATAGCTTTCTTATTTTTCCTGTTTATTGTACTAAAATATACATAATAAAATTTATCCTCTTAACCATTTTTATGTGTACAGTTTAGTGGCATTAAGTATATTCCCATTATTGAACAACCATTACCACCATCCATCTCCAGAACTTTTTCACCGTCCCTACCTAAAACTCTACCATTAAACACTAACTCCCCATTCTCTCCTCCCCTCAGCCCCTGCCGACCACCATTCTCCTTTCTGTTTTTATGAATTTGCCTCCTCTTGGTATTTCACATAAATGGAATCATACAATATTTCTCCTTTTGTAACTAGCTTCTTTCATTCAGCATAATATCTTCAAGGTTCACCCATCTTGCAGCATATGTCAAAATTTCCTTCCTTTTTAAGACTGAGTAATATTTCATTGTATGTATAAACCACATTTTGTTTATCCATTCATCGATCAATGGACACTTGGGCTGCTTCTACCTTTTGGCTACTGTGAATAATGCTGCTGTGTACATAGGTGTGCAAATATCTGTTTGAGTTCTTATTTTCATTTCTTTCAGGTATATACCGAGAAACGGAATTGCTGGATCACATGGTAATTCATATGTTTAATTTTCTGAGAAATCATTATATGCCATGGATTTCTTACTTTTGAACTCACTTTTGCTTTATCTCTTGAACACTGTAGAAGAATTTATGAGGAGTTTATATTTGATTTTCTTGCATGTTTTTCTGTTACTTTTGCAAATAAAGACAATCTGGTTTAAAATTCCTGGGTTAACTTCTTTCTCCTGAAAACTTTGCCCAGATTGTTTCACTGTCTTCTGTCATTCAGAGTATACTTAAAAAAGATTAAGACCTTTTTTTTTTTTCCCTTTTTGTCTTTTTTCGTGACCGGCAACGGATCGCAACCCTCAGTGTCGCGCCCGTACCGGACCGGGACCGGCAACGGGATCGCAACCCTCGGTGTTGCGCCCGCACCTCGCTCAGCCAGTGAGCGGCCGGTCTGTATGTGGGATCCGAACCCTCGACGGGAGCGCCACCACGCTCCCAAGTGGCGCACTGTAGCAGTGCGCCACCGGGCTGGCCCATTAAGACCTTTTTTGACATTTGTTTTTTAATAGCTTTTTTCCTATTCATGGATACTTATAGAATTTTTAAAAGTTTGTTTATAGAAAAAAAAAATTGCCACCTGTGTGTCTCTTTCATTCATAGACATGGTTTTGCTCACCTGAGGAAAATCCCTTTCTGTTATACATTTAATATTGCTTATTTGCANGGACACTTGGGCTGCTTCTACCTTTTGGCTACTGTGAATAATGCTGCTGTGTACATAGGTGCGCAAATATCTGTTTGAGTTCTTATTTTCATTTCTTTCAGGTATATACCCAGAAACGGAATTGCTGGATCACAAGGTAATTCATATGTTTAATTTTTTGAGGAATCATTATATGCCATGGATTTCTTACTTTTGAACTCACTTTTGCTTTATCTCTTGAACACTGTAGAAGAATTTATGAGGAGTTTATATTTGATTTTCTTGCATGTTTTTCTGTTACTTTTGCAAATAAAGACAATCTGGTTTAAAATTCCTGGGTTAACCTCTTTCTCCTGAAAACTTTGCCCAGATTGTTTCACTGTCTTCTGTCATTCAGAGTATACTTAAAAAAGATTAAGACCTTTTTTGACATTTGTTTTTTAATAGCTTTTTTTCCTATTCATGGATACTTATAGAATTTTTAAAAGTTTGTTTATAGAAAAAAAAAAATTGCCACCAGTGTGTCTCTTTCATTCGTAGATATGGTTTTGCTCACCTGAGGAAAATCCCTTTCTGTTATACATTTAATATTGCTTATTTGCATTTTTTCTGGTTTCTCCTTTAGGAGCACCATTCTCTATTCCCCTTACATCATCTTTTTCATACCTTTCTCCTTTTCATCTGTATCCTGGCAAACTGCAGCCCATGGTCTGGCCTGTTTCTGTATGGCCTGTGAGCTAAGGATGGCTTTTACATTTTCAGAGGGTTGTAAAAACAAACAAATAAAACACAAACAAGAATATGCAACGGGGTCTATGTGACCTGCAATGCCTAAAGTATTGCCTATCTGGTCCATTAGAGAAAACGTTTGCTGACCTCTGATCTTTATCTTTGGGAAACTTCTTAGGTTTACTCTCTACATCTCTGATTCTCCTTTTTTTACTGTGCTGCTTCTGATGTTAGTTCTGCTCCCAGTGAAGATATTAAGTTTTCAGCTACATTTTTAGGTTCTTGGCAATTTTCCTCAGGTCATCTTCTTTCCAACTCACGTAGTAGTCTTTTCATCCCAATCTCTCCTCTTTGCAGGGCTTTTGGTGTAGTTTCACAGAGAACATTTATTTCCCTGAATTCCTGAAATGTGCTTATACTGTAAATGTGCTTCACCTTGTTCTTCAGTACTTTTCTAGAAGGCTCCATGATATTCTGTTTTTTGCGTATTGACACATGGTAAATTCTGGCCAGACTCAGTGTGTACAGACTGTCATTGGTTCCCTCTCCAACTTCCTTGATGACTGTCAAACACCTACCTGTCTCAGATGTATTGCTCATGGACATAGTTAGGTGTATAGCTCCCAAAGGTCCAATTCCCAGCTTCTGGCTGATGTTCCCCAGGAGCAGGAGCCAGCAAACTATTGCCCGTAGCCTATATGCCCTGCTAGGTATAAGTGGTTTATACATTTTTTAAAGGATTGTAAAAAAATAAACAAAAAACTAAGAATAATATGAAATAGAGACCCTTTGTGGTTCACGAGGCCTGAAATATTTCCTACATGGTCTCTTCCTTTTTGTCTTTTTTTTTCGTGTCCGGCAACGGACCGCAACCCTCAGTGTTGCGCCCG